AAACAAAAAGAAAAAGAAAAATAAATTGCAATCTTACTCTTAGACTTTTTTAAAAAGACAGATCATTCCAAAACTTATGAAAATATTAAAAATAACATCCCCCATCTTCTCCTCCGCCTTTTCTGGGGTTTGCTCAAAGTTTCAAGATTTTCTTGGAATTTCGAAGTATCTCCACATGTCCCGAACGTGGGATTTACTCAAAATTCTGAGAAATCACTGCAAATCTTATCTGGGTTTTGTTTAATTCTCAAGTTTTTCTTGGGATTCCCTGAAGAATTTTTCATTTTTGTCTCATAAACTGAAGATTTTGTGGACAATCCCGTAAAGATTTCTTCATTTTTGTTATAGAAAATGGGAGATTTGGCAGGTATGTTTGGGAATTCTGGTGATACAGGTGTGCTTGAGCTCACAGGGAAAATCATGATAGTGGGTATAATACTCATTTTCTTTGTGGTAGTCTTTGTCTTCATTCTCACCTAGCAGCCCGTTTCCAAAAGCTCAAATCATTACCAGTACAGAAATCGAAATCATAATTTTTGCAAAGCTTCAATTTTCGAACACCCCAGAATTCAAGAATAGAGATTTTATAAATGAACCCAAAAAAGTAGACCTTAGTGAAGAAACTGAAGGGTGTTTTTCACAGAAAAAATGCTGAGAAAATGGGTTCAAAATCAAGTGAAAATGGGTTGAAGAAGAACCCAGATAGTAAAAATTGTTCATCGCCTACAAAATCATCTGAGAACGAGAGCTTTTCACCTTTCAAGAAAACCCCAAAGGGAAAAAATGGCAAAAAAGGAATCGAATTCCCCATCTTCGGCTTCGTGGGACGATTTTTCAAGTGAGTCCATGTCTCCACATGAAAAAAACTGGTTGCTTTTGGTGTTCTCCGAAAAAGGGTTCGAGAAAAAATAGCAAAGAAAACGGGGAAGGGAGGAGATGGAGGTCATGGTGGAGGAGGAAAGAATGGCCGGGGATTCATGCTTCTGGTCGGATTCACGGGTTGTAGAGAGTGAATGGAGGGAGAGAATCAGGGTCTGTGATGTTGGGTGAAATTAAATTAGTGTTTGGACTGATTTGCATTTTTTTTTTTGTTATTTTTAATATTTTTATAAGTTTTGGACTGATTTGTCTTTTTAAAAAATTCTAGGAGTAAGATTGCAATTTATTTTTTATTTTTCTTTTCTTTTCCTTTTTGTTTTATTTAAATTGGAGGGTATATCGGTCATCTTACGTTAAAAATTAGGGAAAATGACGTTTTGCGC